TAAATATAAGAACAGTGACTGAGTCACACCACACAAAAACAAAAGTTTTAGACTTTAGAAAAGCAGACTTTTCTAAAATTAGAATATGGGTAGAGGAGTCATTATCAGACTGGAGCAATTTAAATGGAGTCCAAGAGAAATGGGATTATTTAAAAGCTGCACTATTGAAGGCAACAGAAAATTGCATTAGGCTTGTCAGTAAAAGCAAAAAATTCAAGAAACCACTGTGGTACTCCACAGATGTGGCCAAAATAGTTAAAAACAAAAAGTTAGCATTTAGGAATTATAAAAAAAAAAACAGAGTGAGGAAGACAAAATGATCTATAAGATTAGGCAGAAAGAGGCTAAGCAAGTTATAAGAGCTTCCAAATCAGAGGGTTGTAATTAATGGAATATATTCGAATCTTGGACTTGTCACCAGTGGGGTACCTCAGGGATCTGTACTTGGACCCATTCTCTTTAATATTTTTATTAGTGATATTGCAGAAGGTCTTGATGGTAAGGTATGTTCTTTTTGCTGATGATTCTAAGATATGTAACAGGGTTGATGTTCCAGGAGGGATAAGCCAAATGGCAAATGATTTAGGTAAACTAGAAAAATGGTCAGAATTGTGGCAACTGACATTTAATGTGGATAAGTGCAAGATAATGCATCTTGGACGTAAAAACCCAAGGGCAGAGTACAGAATATTTGATAGAGTACTAACCTCAACATATGAGGAAAGGGATTTAGGGGTGATTATTTCTGATGACTTAAAGGTAGGCAGACAATGCAGTATTAGCAGTAGAAAGAGGGAAGTGCTCATGCCATTGTACAGAACACTGGTGAGACCTCACTTGGAGTATTGTACACAGTACTGGAGACCGTATCTTCAGAAGGATATTGATACCTTAGAGAGGGTTCAGAGAAGGGCTACTAAACTGGTTCATGGATTGCGGGATAAAACTTACCAGGAAAGGTTAAAGGATCTTAACATCCTGAAGAGCTTGGAGGAAAGACGAGACAGGGGGGATATGATAGAAACATTTAAATATATAAAGGGAATCAACATAGTAAAGGAGTAGACTATATTTAAAAGAAGAAAAACTACCACAACAAGAGGATATAGTCTTAAATTAGAGGGACAAAGGTTTAAATATAATATCAGGAAGTATTACTTTACTGAGAGGGTAGTGGATGCATGGAATAGCCTTCCAGCTGAAGTGGTAGAGGTTAACACAGTAAAGGAGTTTAAGCATGTGTGGGATAGGCATAAGGCTATCCTAACTATAAGATAAGACTAATGAACTTATTTAGAAAATTGGGCAGACTAGATGGGCCGAATGGTTCTTATCTGCCGTCACATTCTATGTTTCTATGTGTGTATGTGCCAGTGTGTATATGAGTATTTGTGTGTATGTGCCAGTGTGGGCATCTCTGTGCCCATGTATCTGCGTGTATGTGCAAGTGCATGTGTATCTGAGTGCCTGTGTATCTGATTGTGTATTAGTCAGTGTGCATGTAACAGACCGTTTTGCACACAAGGGGTAAAAACCGTTTAGGCGATCGTCCCCCTTTCCAGAGACACAGGCACAGCTACTGCAGAACACCAATCCGCCGAACAGGAAACCACATGAATGCTGTAAACAGCCGAATAGGAAAAACCATACAAATAGGTTTACACTCCTAGCAGTCGAACTGGAACAGCATACAATAAATCCCCCCAAGAACGAGACAAAGCTCCGTGTTGAGGGTCAAGCAGTGAACAGTCAGAGCTGTGGGTTTATTGTGCTTATGTACACATTCCTACACATTAGTACCACCCACAGGGTTTTGGAACACAACCAATAAACACATACAATACACTCAGACACTCCCACACAAATTCCTCCCCTCTGCCTGTGATTCAATTACCTTACACAATGGGTAATGTAATTATAACAAGCAGAGAAATACAATTTTTCCACATTATTCATAACTTGAAAAGTATGCATCACATTCACATATAACTTACATTTTCAAAATCAGCATACTCCAAATACAAACATACGTCAAAATCATCCAAATTGGTCCAGTGGTTCAAAAGATGGATCGTACTCCTTTGTGACCAAAGGAAGCATGGCTTTTCTGCCCAAAACCAGTTCCACAGAGTCTTCTATCCTGGAGATAATCGGGAAGTAATCCAATTATCTCCAAGGACAGAGGCAAAACTCCATTGAACACATGGCAGCAAAAGACAATAAAACACATAAAACATATAACTGTGCAGCCATTGCACAAAACAGGTACATTCAACATATCCCCAGATAGCTCAGATCTGAGCGCACATTATTACTGAATGGCGCTCAGAGCACACACATACAGATCAATTGCCATGGAGCCAAAGTCTTTCCCATAGTCTTTCATTATACGAATAGGCTCCATGGCATAGCTATCTGAGGTATCACCGCTCAAACAGGGCAAGCACCAAATGACCCGGCTTTCATGTCTTTGCAGGGGAAAATCAAGCCTTTTAACATGGGGCCATAATCCAAAGGCAACAGGCGAGCAACCAGGCTTCTCCAATGCAATGTGGCGAGATTGGTCTCGTCACAGTGCATGTATGTGCCAGTGTGTTTCTGAGTGTGTATATTTGTGTGTGACAGTGCATGTATCTGTGTGTCGTGTTGTGTATATGCCAGTGTGTATCTGTGTGTTAAGGTGTGTGCATGTGTATGAGTGTAAATAGTTGCAATATGTTGTGTGTGTGACTGTGTTTGGTGGGTGGTGCGTTTATGGGGAGGGAGGCACGTGAATCGGTGGGGGGGGGGGGCAGTTGTAGAATCTTAATACCATTTTGTACCCACTCTGGGGCCAGTTAGATAATCTTTATACCATCTTATACTCTCTCCAGGGGCAGTTGTAGAATCATTATACCATCTGCAGGGACAGTTGTAGAGTATTTATACCATATTGTACCCTCTCCATGGGCAGTTACAGAATCTTTATTGTACCCTCTCTAGGGACAGTTGTAGATTTTTATACCATTTTGTGCCCTCTCTAGGGGCAGTTGTAGAATCTTAATTCCATCTTGTACCGTCTCTAGGGTACCATCTTGTACCCTCTGCAGGGACAGTTGTAGAATCGTTACACCATCTTGTACCCTCTCCATTGGGAGGTTGTATAATCTTAATACCATATTGTACCCACTCTGGGGACAGTTGTAGAATATTTATACCATATTTTACCCTCTCCAGGTGCAGTTAGAGAATCTTTGTACCATATTGTACCCTCTCTGGGGGCATTTGTAGAATCTGTATATCATATTGTGCCCTTTCTAGGGGCAGTTGTAGAATCTTAATACGATATTGTACCATCTCCAGGGGCAGTTAGAGAATCTTTGTACCATATTGTACCCTCTCTGTTGATAGTAAGACAATCTTTCTACCATTTTGTACCCACTCCAGGGGCAGTTATAGAATCTTAACACATATTGTACTCTTTCTGAGGGTAGTTAGAGAATGTTTATACCAAATTGTACCCTCTCTGGGGGCAGTTGTAGAATCTTAATACCATAATGACACCTCTCCAGATGAAATTAGAGAATCTTGATACCATATCGTACCCACTCCAGGGGCACTTTATACCATATTGTACCCTCTCCGGGGACAGTTGTAGAATCTTTATACCATTTTGTACCCTCTCCAGGGGCAGTAGTAGAATCTTTATACCATATTGTACTCTCTCCGGGGGCAGCTGTACAATCTTTATACCATTTTGTACCCTCTCCAGGGGCAGTAGTAGAATCTTTATACCATATTGTACTCTCTCCGGGGGCAGTTGTACAATCTTTATACCATATTGTACTCTCTCCGGGGGCAGTTGTACAATCTTTATACCATATTGTACTCTCTCCGGGGGCAGCTGTACAATCTTTATACCATATTGTACTCTCTCCGGGGGCAGTTGTACAATCTTTATACTATATTGTGTTGCCTCTCTGTGGGCAGTTGTACAATCTTTATACCATCTCCTAGCCTTTGACTTTGATTTATCTGCCTATGTCCAGTTTGTCCTTCAGCGAATACGTCAGAGAGAAGTCCTTAGTTTGTATAACTCTCTAAACATAGTGACACGGTCTCTCCTTTCTCACACACACCCATGTGCAGTGATAAATAGCCGTGCATTCACTCTGTTCTGCCCATAGTAAAGTCTCACATCCATGAGAGCTTGACACTGAAAGCAAGGGGCGACGTGCAGGATAAGGCAGGAGGGAGGAGAGAGGGGGAGAGGTCCATGTAAGCTCTAGACCTGGAGTGAGTGTAGTTTGCATTCACACATTTAATGTCACCTCGTTTACCCGTAAAGATAGCGAGAAACTCAACTTAGATAATTAAAGCACAAAGTCCCAAGAAACAACGAAAACCTAGATTTCAATGAATATCTGAGAGCAGAGTGGACGCTCAGTGTGGACAAGCCTGAGGCAGGAGCACTGTGCACAAGGGGATCACCATGAAACATTGGGGTGCCTTCTTTCTTCTTTTGGGGACCTGCTTCAATGGACAGAGTGTGTGTGATGAGGAGAAAGGACATCACAGCCACCCAAAAGGTGAGGTCACTGTCCCCAAAATGCAGACTTTGCTTCCCCTTTTTAATGAACCCCAGTAATACTGACCAGATCAATGAATGGAGGGGAATGATCTAATTAACTGTCTCTTGGAGAATAGATTTAAGATTGAAGCTAATGTCCGATTGCTCAGAGACCACCAGTTCCTAGGATACCAGAAACACATTAACTAGAATTGGGGAAATCCTTGACAGTTTGTGAACTGACTGATGTTAACGGAGCAATCCATGGGATCTATTGCAATATATGGGAATGTTGGCAGTATTTGTCATTGGTTGGATTGTGCCAATTAAACTATCATTTGTCCCTATCTATTGCAGCTTTTATTTATAGAATTTAGCTGTTAATGTATTTTAAGTCATATTATTTTATTTATGGTTAATTTATCTTTTAAAGATGTTATGCCTGGCATGGGATGGTAATGTAAAGGGGCAAGAGGGGGCTTTTCCAGAGGCAAGGGACATCCATCTGGCTCTACAGAATAATATAACTGGGCCTAACGCTACACACTGTATAATGGGGTTCAGAGTGCCAGAGGGTATGGACATGGCTTATCCACTAAATAAGGTGGTTTTACACAGTAAAGGAGTTTAAGCATGCGTGGGATTGGCATAAGGCTTTCTATAGGCTAACTATAAGACAAGGCTAGGGACTAATGAAAGTATTTAGAAAATTGGGCAGACTAGATGGGCCGAATGGTTCATATCTGCCGTCACATTCTATGTTTCTATGTTTGGTCCAGTTCATGGCAGAGGAACTTGCCTATTGTGGTGAGGAAAAAAGATATATACTAACCTATTTGTTTAATTCTGCAGGGGAGGCACGTTACCCCCCACGTACAGTGTATTGCTGGGGGGTCTGCAGGGGAGGAACGTTACCCCCCACGCACAGTGTAGTGCTGGGGTCTGCATAGTAGGAACATTACCCCCCACGCACAGTGTAATGCCAGGGGTCTGCATGGGAGGAACATTACCCCCCACGCACAGTGTAATGTCAGGGGTCTGCATGGGAGGAACATTACCTTGCATGCACAGTGTATTGCTGGGATATGCAGGGAAAGCACGTTACCCCCTACACACAGTGTTTTGTTGGGGGTCTGCAGGGGAGGAACTTTAGAAGATGCACGTTACCCCCCACACAGTGTATTGCTGTGTGCATATGTTACCCCTTATGCACAGTGTATTGCTGGAGGTCTGCAGGAGAAACATGTTACCCCCCACATACAGTATATTGCTGGGGGTCTGCAGGGGAGGCACTTTAGTCTCCATGCAAAGTGTAATGCTGAGGGTCTGCAGGGGAGGAACTTTAGAAGATGCATGTTACCCCCCACACAGTGTATTGCTGGGTGTCTGCAGGGGAGGCACGTTACCCCTTATGTACAGTGTATTGCTGGGAGTCTGCAGGCGATGCATGTTACCCCCCACATACAGTGTATTGCTGGAGGTCTGCAGAAGATGCATGTTACCCCCCACCTACAGTGTATTGCTGGAGGTCTGCAGGAGATACATGTTACCCCCCACATACAGTATATTGCTGGGGGTCTGCAGGGGAGGCACTTTAGTCTCCATGCAAAGTGTAATGCTGCGGGTCTGCAGGGGAGGAACTTTAGAAGATGCACGTTACCCCCCACACAGTGTATTGCTGGGTGTCTGCAGGGGAGGCACGTTACCCCCCACGTACAGTGTATTGCTGGGGGTCTGCAGGGGAGGCACGTTACCCCCCACGCACAGTGTATTGCTGGGGTCTGCATGGTAGGAACATTACCCCCCACGCACAGTGTAATGCCAGGGGTCTGCATGGGAGGAACATTACCTTCCATGCACAGTGTATTGCTGGGATATGCAGGGAAAGCACGTTACCCCCTACACACAGTCTTTTGTTGGGGGTCTGCAGGGGAGGAACTTTAGAAGATGCACTTTACCCCCCACACAGTGTATTGCTGTGTGCATACGTTACCCCTTATGCACAGTGTATTGCTGGAGGTCTGCAGGAGAAACATGTTACTCCCCACATACAGTGTATTGCTGGGGGTCTGCAGGGGAGGCACGTTACCCCCCACGCACAGTGTATTGCTGGGGTCTGCATGGTAGGAACATTACCCCCCACGCACAGTGTAATGCCAGGGGTCTGCATGGGAAGAACATTACCTTCCATGCACAGTGTATTGCTGGGATATGCAGGGAAAGCACGTTACCCCCTACACACAGTGTTTTGTTGGGGGTCTGCAGGGGAGGAACTTTAGAAGATGCACGTTACCCCCCACACAGTGTATTGCTGTGTGCATATGTTACCCCTTATGCACAGTGTATTGCTGGAGGTCTGCAGGAGAAACATGTTACCCCCCACATACAGTATATTGCTGGGGGTCTGCAGGCGATGCATGTTACCCCCCACATACAGTGTATTGCTGGAGGTCTGCAGTAGATACATGTTACCCCCCACATACAGTGTATTGCTGGAGGTCTGCAGTAGATACATGTTACCCCCCACGTACAGTGTATTGCTGGGGGTCTGCAGGAGATACGTTACCCCCCACATACAGTGTATTGCTGGAGGTCTGCAGGAGAAACATGTTACCCCCCACATACAGTGTATTGCTGGGGGTCTGCAGGCGATGCATGTTACCCCCCACATACAGTGTATTGCTGGAGGTCTGCAGTAGATACATGTTACCCCCCACATACAGTGTATTGCTGGAGGTCTGCAGGAGAAACATGTTACCCCCCACATACAGTATATTGCTGGGGGTCTGCAGGGGAGGCACTTTAGTCTCCATGCAAAGTGTAATGCTGAGGGTCTGCAGGGGAGGAACTTTAGAAGATGCATGTTACCCCCCACACAGTGTATTGCTGGGTGTCTGCAGGGGAGGCACGTTACCCCTTATGTACAGTGTATTGCTGGGAGTCTGCAGGCGATGCATGTTACCCCCCACATACAGTGTATTGCTGGAGGTCTGCAGAAGATGCATGTTACCCCCCACCTACAGTGTATTGCTGGAGGTCTGCAGGAGATACATGTTACCCCCCACATACAGTATATTGCTGGGGGTCTGCAGGGGAGGCACTTTAGTCTCCATGCAAAGTGTAATGCTGCGGGTCTGCAGGGGAGGAACTTTAGAAGATGCACGTTACCCCCCACACAGTGTATTGCTGGGTGTCTGCAGGGGAGGCACGTTACCCCCCACGTACAGTGTATTGCTGGGGGTCTGCAGGGGAGGCACGTTACCCCCCACGCACAGTGTATTGCTGGGGTCTGCATGGTAGGAACATTACCCCCCACGCACAGTGTAATGCCAGGGGTCTGCATGGGAGGAACATTACCTTCCATGCACAGTGTATTGCTGGGATATGCAGGGAAAGCACGTTACCCCCTACACACAGTCTTTTGTTGGGGGTCTGCAGGGGAGGAACTTTAGAAGATGCACGTTACCCCCCACACAGTGTATTGCTGGGTGTCTGCAGGGGAGGCACGTTACCCCTTATGCACAGTGTATTGCTGGGGGTCTGCAGGCGATGCATGTTACCCCCCACATACAGTGTATTGCTGGAGGTCTGCAGGAGATACGTTACCCCCCACATACAGTGTATTGCTGGAGGTCTGCAGGAGAAACATGTTACCCCCCACATACAGTGTATTGCTGGGGGTCTGCAGGCGATGCATGTTACCCCCAACATACAGTGTATTGCTGGGGGTCTGCAGGAGATACATGTTACCCCCCACATACAGTGTATTGCTGGAGGTCTGCAGGAGAAACATGTTACCACCCACATACAGTATATTGCTGGGGGTCTGCAGGGGAGGCACTTTTGGAGATGCACATTAACCTCCAAGAACAGTGTATTGCTGGGGGTCTGCAGGGGAGGCACGTTAGAGAAAGTGAGGAGAAAACAGTCCAAACAGTGCCCAAATCGTAATTGTCTAGCCTAAGCAATCATTTGGTGGGAAGTCCAGTCACTAATG